TCTCTGTATAGTTCATATTAAAGCAGTGTTTCAGGCAGCTGCTTTGTTTACAGCAGTAACCAAGGAAACGCTGTATGTGGTGTTCCAGAAGCGCCTCCTGCTGTCAGAGAGTGAATCTGCATCTCATTCAGAGCTCCTGCTGTTTGCTTCGTTCAGGCATGTAGTATAATTTCACAAAGCTTGTCAGAACATTCTGTTTTTGCTTCAAATTGGGTTATTATTAAATCAAATTATGTATATGAAATGATATAACTAAATGATATGAAATTATATGTATATGAATTATATAACTAAAATTAAATAACTGTAATTACAGATTTAGGTTAAATAAAGATGTCAGTCTTTATTTTTCTTCTTTTTAGGACAGCAGTAGCTCTAGCAGCAAATCAACCATCCACATCAAAAGCTGCAAGACAGCCCACAATTCAGCAAACATTTCAGAAACAAATCAAAGAAACAATAAACAAATACTACTGTTCCAAATATTCTGTATGTTTCTCAAAAATAAAATATATTGTGTTCAGTGGAAAAGTTTTTTTTTTTTACATTTTAGAGCTGTGACAACAATACAGTGAAACCGTGATATTTTTGCTTAAGGTTATCATACCGTCAAAATCTCATACCGGTCCATGCCTAAATATGACCTTGATTTTTGTGAGGTTTCAGTTTAATAAGCCTTATAAAAATAAATTTGTTTGTGTTGTCATGCAGGAACAAGAAATACTTTTGTTCAACAGAGATTGAGATTGAACAATTCTCCATAAATGTCATTATATAAAAATTGTCGTTATATTATTTTGACCACATATTATTTTCTGTTATATAAGCAAAAGAATGTCAGAGAATGTGTTTTTTTTTTGTATGTTCATGTTGTGTATATCCAGTGTTAATTTAGAATTATATATTTTAATTTTAAGTTCAGTTTGCCATTTTTAAAAAAATATTTATAAAAAGTTTACATTTATTTTTATTTCAGTCTTAGTTTATTATTTCCGTTTTAGTTTTAATTCAGTTAGTAATTTCAATTAAACTTATTTCAATTAGCTGACATGGCAACATTTCAGATTTTCACTTAGTGAACATTTTTCATATAATATTTAGTTTTTTTATTGCAGTGAACAAAAATGTTTGTTTTTTACAGTTTTAGTTAACAACACTGCTTACCACATCATGATCAGTCATGTGACATTTGAGAGCTATGGCAAATAGGAGGAAATCCACTTTTGCTGGAAGCAGGGTTGTGTGCATTAACATAAACAAATTAACAATGCTTTTTAAATTCCAATTCGATTTCTGAATGCCATGACCTATTTCTCTGAATTGTTATTCTGTAAATTCCATTTCAAATTCCTGTGTGGACAATTCATTTTAAATTCCACTTCATGAACTGAAAGGGAGCCAGTTGTTAAATTCTTAATTTTGCCTAACCTTTTTTGCAATGACATGAGTAAGCGATGTCATCTATTCCTTTATTTACTATTGAAATGATTTTCCTCTTGCTCAGGTGCTGGTGTGGCACACCCGAACTGAGAAGCCAAAGATGAAGAGGGAAGACACTTTGCAGAAGCAAGGGTTGGGTTCAGATCCGGATGTGGAGGTGTGAGCACCACCTCCTCAGAACATGCCTGAACTTCACCAAACATCCACACTTCCACTGGCCAAACAGATTCTCTCATTTATATGGCAAGAGGTGAAACAAACGACACTCTGAAAGTGTGATTTCTGGGCCACACACCAAAGACATGAGGAATGAGGAAAGGAAGTGATGAATGCAGGGATAAAAAGTGCAAGAGACAGAAGCAAAGGAACCGGCAGCCTAAAAGAAAATGGATTTCTATAAATCATCATGCATCCCATAAACCATCCTTATCATTGGTACACTTGAACAGTATTTAAAGAGAATCTTACATATGGTATCAATCAGTAAGATGTATTTATAGATATATAGTTATTTATTTATATGTATATATAGATTAGAAACGTAATTGTATACTGTGAGGTTTGCTTGGAATATATTTATAACTCATTATGTCTATGCTGTCCATGTCTCTGTTACCTTCAGTCTGGTGTACTTGTCTTATGTCTTCACATAAAATCTTAAAGTCTTAAGACATTTTCTTCACTGATAAACGGAGGATATAAATAGGTCAGATATGGTGTCTATTTATGCCATTAACAATCTTTGTTGAATCACAATGGTGTGCTTATCTTTAATCCAGTGGCATGTTGTGTACGTGGCACTGGTAAAGCTTCAGGTGACAGAGTGTAAAGTACAGATTATGTTACTTGACCCTTTGAAGCAAAGGGTGAAAACGTATAGAATTCTTTTGCACATCATCATACTGGTGGTGATGCAGAAATGTAGATAGCACAAGAACGTAGCGGACAAGTTCGGTTTTTATCACAGTTTGTCAGATTCCATGTGCTGGGAAAGTTTTCTATTTTATTGCTTTAGAAATCTACATGTTTTACTGAATCCAAATGTTAAGAACATAAGGATGTAAAGATATCGAGCAGGAAGAGTTGGCTCTGTGCCAGTTCAAGTGAAGTGAAGTGACCACAACTCACAAGTTGTTTATGTAAAGTGCAAAAGTCAGGTCAGAATGTCAGAAAATGTAGATTTTTTAACAATAACTTATTTAAATTATTAAAGGCAGATGAGGTTGTTAATCTAAGTTTTTATATGGTTTTGTTGAAGCCATCAGCATTATTTCTACTTATTTTTTTAAATAATCATGTTCAACGGTGGAAGTACTGGTGAAAAACGACATTAACCATGATTCTGCAAAGAAATCTCAACCAATCAGAGAATCGCAACATGCTAATATTGCCTACATAATAGAGTCAGTATGCCTATGATTTCAAACTACTTAAATATTTGTGTATATATGTACATTTTGTAATAAATTGAAAAACTGTTTCTTCATAACCAACATCTTCCTGTAGTTCAAACTTTAGAACATGGTGCTAGCAATGCCAAGGATTAAAATTCCCAGGGGAAGCAAGAATTGATTTGAATTCAATGTAAGTTGCTTTGGATAAAAACGTCTGCCAGAAGCATAAATATTTCTCCATTTTTCTCTTATTAAAGCTGTCAAGTACTCCGTTTTGTGCCATTGTTGTTTTTTTTGGATGATTTTCAATACTTTTTGCTTCAGATAAAAGTTTGTAATGCTGCGATTCATCACGTAGCTGGTTGGTTTGGTTCATGGTTTATAACTCTTTTTAAAAAAAAAAAAAACTTTTTAAAATCCCTATGGGAAAAATACAGCTAAAATAGTGAACAGGCACTGTTGCACTCGTTTGGAATGACAGGAAGAGGATCTATTGCGCTATCCATAAGGCATATAGACAAATCTTCAAATCTTTCAGAGTTTTCAAACAAGGCTTTGTCAAGCCAACATTCAACGTTTGTTTGAACTATTAAGTCTATTTTCTTATATGTAAAATTTAATTTTCAGTTCTGCATTCTGTTGCTGTTTGCAGTTAAAATTAAATTCGAATTCTGCCATTGAATCAGAATTTTAAAAAGCACTCTTAATTCATTTTTCTCAGGTATTTCTGAATGGCATGCTGGTCTAATTTGGAGTCATCCTGAACAGACAAATTCATCCTTTTTTACTAAGCTGATCTTTCACCATCTATGAATATGATGCCATGTGAGCACTAGAAACCACAAGGAATGAACAGACAGTAAAGTCCCTCCTCATAATGACTCGATAGTACTGCAGCATCATGTGTCCTCTTAACCACACACATATAGGAAATCACAGCTGTGAAACAGCTGTTTCTATTTATCCTGGGGGAGGGCCGTCGCCACTGGGCAATGACCTCAACTCTTCTTCAGACATTTTTTTTTTTTTTATCTAGAAGTTGTTTCATAAGGTTAGACAATTCTTCAAATGACTGTTTAAACTATTTTAAAGAACACATGAGAACCAAATACAGATCAGTCCGACGTACAATTACATGCACTTTCTTAAGTATTACCCTGTAGCAGACACAGTCTTAAAGGCCACACCTAATGTTTCCAGGTGTTTATTGCAATCTTTCTCCTTCCAACTCTTTCCATCACTGTCACTTTTGTATTTTGAGACCCCTATTTTACCCTCTTTATGTATTCCAACATCAGTTTGAGGGGGAAAAATATGTAAAGCAGTATTCCTTTTTGGAAATGGAATCCCTCCCAGTGCATCATGTTTCCACCCAGCGAATAACCCAAAACACATTTAAGAGTCCTGCTCAGGTGAGTCAGTGAGTCATTTAGCAACACTTACAACAACTTTACAACTTGTGCAGTAAAAGTTTGATACTGTTTGTTGAGTAGGTCTGAGTTGTCTGATACTTAGTATTTAGCATTTTTTTAAGCTGCTTCTCTTCTTCAGTTAATTA